CGACTACCAACCACCTCCCCCTCAATCCTCACGCCTCCCCAACCCCCTCGTCTTCCTCCCAACACACAAAACACACAAAAGGCACTTGCATAAAGCCAGATCAGGTGACGCTTGCAAGTGAGCAGAATGGCTCGTGTCACAGTGATGGGTGTCTTCCGAAAGGCTGGTAAATCGTACATGCCAATGCATTTTTGTGCACGACAGGGGCTGCAGCACAGCCCCAAACTGCGAAGCCGCCACAGGCACCTGACCACCAACAGCGGGGGGCAATAGTAACTGACAGTGTGGCTGACTCAGCGCCCAAACCAGTTCGTCCGCTGGATGCCGCTGGATGGTGGAGCAGGGGGCAGTGTAAAGCAGACAGTATTCCTAGGCCACATCCCACGGCGCCGCCTGACGACAGGCGCGGCGTGTTTGACCGCCGGGCGTCTGTGCGGCGACTGCGAGCGGCCACGAGTGCGAAAATGGCCTGTGCGCCCTTCAGGGGCAGCACAGGCTTCGATGAAGAAGCGGGGCGAGATGAGAAGGGCAGGGCAAAGAGATGGGGCGGGCGCGATCTAAGGGCGCGCTCAAGGCGGCTGCGGCCCCTCTGGCCCCTGCCTCGCCGATGCGACGGCAAGGGGGCAGAGCGGCCGCGTTGCGCAGGGCGTGTGGGGCTGCCAGGTGATCGGTTCGAATAGAGGTCAAGTGCGGCAGTGCCAACAGGGCGGGTGTTGCAAATATTGGTGGCTTTGCCGTGGTCCGTCTTATCTCGCACGCTTTCGCAAGTGCCAGGGGGATCCGGCGGCCCGACCAAGCAGCCGGCAAGGGGGGATCCGGCGGCCCGACCAAGCAGCCGGCAAGGCAGGAAGCTGGCACGCAGCTGCCGACGCGAGCAAAGTGCAAATGCAAGGGTGCAGGGTTGAGGTGGAGGGGGTCATGCAGTGCTCTTGCAACATGCGTGTTCATGAGTATCTAGACGTAATATTTTTATACATACATGAGCCAACGAGGACGGCCAGCCCCAGACACAGGCCCACACCCTGTGCCTGGCCGCTGCCGCCGCCGCCGCCGCCACCACATCAGTTCCGAGCAGGCCGGGGCAACGTGCCCCCGCCGGGGCCGCACGCGTCCGCCCGCCCCCGCGCCTCCGCGCGCGCCTGCAGCGCCTCGAGGAGCCCCGCCGCCGTCGGCAGGCGCGGCCACGCGGCGATGATGAGCGAAGCAAACTGCTCGGGCAGGAGGACTGAGCAAAAGGCCACCAGATCGCAGCAGGCGGAAGCGAACTGGTAGCTGCTCAGCCACGCGCCCATCCGTGCCACTGCCTCGTCCAACCCAGGGCGGCCGTCAACGCCGCCGCAGCCCGTGCCGCCGCCCGCGGCGGCGGCCGCGGCGGCCGCGCAGGCCGAGTTGCAGAGGGTGGAGAGCGCCTCGTGGCGCGCGTGCAATGGCGCAAGGCGCCCCTGGCCGCAGAGGAGTGCAGACAGCAGCAGTTCCTCCTACGCGTTGAGTCAAAGGTTGGTCGCAGTGGGTCAAAGGGGGCGCGATGGGGAGTGTGCACGCCGCCAATAGGCCCGGCCGTCAGAGAGGTGTCCGTCCACAGCAGGGATGCCGTGGTCACAAGCAGTGGGGCGGGCGCCGCCCAAACCCCTCGCGCGGCGCAGGCGGGCCCCGTCCGTGCGCCTGGCAGTTCCAGGCGCAAATTCGCCCAATCCTATGTACAAGGCGCAGCCTGCGCTGAGGGGGCCGCCCCGCCCACCTGGCCGGGCGCCAGTTGCAGCTGCTCCACGATCCAAGAGTACCTCGCCGCCGCAGCGGCAGCGGCAGCAGGCGCAGGCGCGCCCGCGCCCCCCTCGACGTCGCCCAGCGGGCCCAGCAGCACCTCGCAGGCGGGCCGGGCGTCCCGGCTGAGGCAGACCAGGGCAGTATGCTCCATGACGCGCGCGCGCTCCTCCAGCAGGCGCCCGCGCGCCCACTCCGCCTCGGGGCAGCGGCCGCCGTGGCGCGCCTTGCTGCGGGATGGGGCGGGGCGGAAGGGCGGGGCTGGGCTGGGTCTGGGGTCAAACCATGGTCAAAGCTGGTCAGATCATGACAGTAATCCGTCATTGTTGACAGAAAGGGAAGTGCAGGTACATTATCAGCCGTTTCCAATCGGGTGGCAGCTCCACACAAATTATAATACATAGGCCCAGGCGCGGAAAGTGGTGGCGACCGGCTCACAAGTAGAACGGCCCAGCGCGCTGCACGAACTCGTGGAAGGTCCTCGCCAGCCCTGCTGTCGACAAATCTGTGCCGGCCGCGCGCGCCGCCGCGGCCGCCGGCGACCAGCCGAGGCCTGAGGGGAGGCCACGCGCCCCCAGCGGCGGCGCGGCGGCGGCCAGGGATGACAAATCCAGCCGCATTTGGGTGAGGAGGGCGGCCCAGCCGGAGGCAGCTTCGGCGTCGGGGCACGCGGTCTGGGGCGGCAGCTGCCGGCAGGGGGTTTTGTCGTGGCGGCGCTCTTCCTGCTGCTGCTGCTGCTGCTGCTGCTGCTGCTGCTGCTGCTGCTGCTGCTGCTGCTGCTGCTGCTGCTGCAGCAAGGCGCCCAGCTGCAGCAGGCCAAGCGCCTGGTCGGTTGCAAGCTGTGCGGCGAGCGCGCGTATGTGCAGCGAGCGCTGCTGCTCCCCCAGTGCCTGCACCTCGGCCTGCCGCCGCAGCAACTGCCGCTCCAGCCGGAGGAGCTGCTCGCTCATGGGCACACCGGCGACGACTGTGCGGCGCCGCACGGCAGGTTCGTGCGGCGCATGCGCAGCCACAAAAGGCCTCTGGCGCTCGCCCGTCCAGGAAGTGTCACCCGATGCTTGCTGCCCCTCGTGTTGCGGGTTATGCCAGCTAAGGGCTGGCTCCCGCTTCTGAGAGGCAGAGGACATGGGCTTGGGGTCCCGCCGAATCAACACGGGTGTGTCCGCGAAAGGCGAAGCTCCCCGCGGACACACGCTCGCATATCTAAATGACTGACCGCTTGGTTTTGGTGTAAATAAACGCCCGCGGTGGAGGCCGGTCCGTCACCATATCAACAATGGCGGGCCGTTGCGGCCAGCTCGTGACAGTGGTGCCGCTTGCGCTGGCCACATGACGAAAGAGGGACGTCATGGAAGCGGCGACGCGTGGTCGCTCATGCTGTCACCTGCCCCTCTGGGCAGCTGACAACCATCTTGTCCCACTTGCACCAGCCCGTGTGCAAGTGATCATGCCCCCGAGATGCCGGCACACACAGGAACCTGCAGCACCCTTGACCACGCGCGCCTCCGGATGAAGATGGTTCAAGCACTGCGCCGGTCCTGCGGTTGATGAGGCATCCAGGCTGCGGGGTAGGGGCAGCCCAAGGTGCAGCTGCCATGCCGGATGTTGGGCAGCCAAGAAAAGGGCGGCGCTCGCGCCTGCAGGAGCTGCTCTCCGAGCCTCCCTACATTCAATGTTGCTGAGCTGCGCCGAGGAGCAGAACGCACCTGGCTGCGAGGGCTTACGTAGCGGGGACGTGTCCAGGGCCCCGCTTGCTGCCCTCAGCTGTCAGAACGACCCGCACGTTGACCATCCTGCCCGTCCTCCGCGACTGCCGGCCTCGGCTGCTGCGCTAGTGACCAGCTTGCCGCCCGTTGCGTACAAGGTCGTGATGAGCCTTTCCTCGCTCCGTGGGAGCCTGCCGCTTTGCGCTCCTGCCGACTCAGGCCCTGGGCCTCATCCCCACCTGGGGACCCGAAAAAACCCTGAAACCTGAGCTGCAGCTTCGTAACCTGCAGCTCGCAACACTCGACCCCAAACTTGGTTGTCAAGCAGCAGCGCGCACCTCTTAACCCCAACTGCATTAGTTCGAAAGCTGCAGCTCGCTGTTGGAGCGGGAAGGGGAGATGGGCGGCATGAAACGCACGGCGCGGGACGGACGGCAAACGTTCGCTGCGAACACCAATGGTTGCGTTTGTGCCCCCCGCTGGATGATAATTTCGCCGCGCGCTACTGCCAATCGGCGTGCACCGCTAGCAGCCAGCGCGGGCCCATGCGCACCGAAGCGCCTTCGTCACAGGCGCACGGGGGCGTGGGCGCGGGCTGCCAGCGACAAGGGCCTCAGACGATCCGACGGGTGCAGGGCAGCACGGGTGGGGAATGCAGGCGCAATTTGGCATCGTATGGAGTGATCTCAATTACGAGGCCTGCACAGAGCAGCATGCGCGGCTAGGGAATGGCCCTCACGAATGAAACCCTGCTGGCCTGGCCGGCTCATCAGCTCCCGCTGGGCAGCTGTATGGCGTGGGCTGTATAGTGTGGGCTGTATAGCGTGGGCTGTATAGTGCGGGCTGTATAGCGTGGGCTGTACACTCAGGCCAGCCGGGCCTTCCTCAGGCCCTGACTGCCGGCCAGCCGTGCTGCTGACGCCACGTGTGCTACTGACGCCACGCGTACGCATCAGAATACCGCCCAGCGCCGCTGCGCATACAGGGCCGGCGCACGTGATATACACAAGGGTGCATGGGCGTTCCCGCCCGCTCAGCCGCGTCCGCGGCCACGCCCGCGGCCGCCGGGGCCGCCGCCGGCGGCGCCGGCGGCTTTGGGGATGTCGGCCGCGCGGCCCCCAAGCAGCAAATCCAGTGCCCAGTCGCCCGTGCTGGGCGGCGCCTGCTGCTGCTGCTGCTGCTGCTGCCGCTGCTGCGCCGCCGCGCGCCTGCCCGCCTTTTTGCTCGCCAGAAGCAGCGGCGGCTTCGGCGGCGGCGCGGCGTCGGATGGCGCGGGCCGCGGCGGCGGGGCTGCTGGCGCCGCGGCCGCCGGAGCTGCAGCTGCCGCGCCTGGCGGCCGCGCGGCGGCGCCGCCTGCCGAGCCGCCGACCCGCACGAACGCCACCCCCCCTCCCCCCGCCCCCTCGTCGCCGCTGCTGCTGCTCTCAGGGGCGGCCGCCAGCGAGCGCCGCTCCGCCGCCGCGCCGAACCCTGGCGCGTTTGCCATGGCCGCCGCCGCCTCCGCAGCCGCCGCTGCGGCAGCGGCGCTCGCCGCCTGCTCGAATTCCACCTCCATAGCTTCCGCTGCCCCGCACTCCCCTGACACCCCCTGCGGCAAAGTGTCTGTCGCGTGCGGCGGAGCACCGTTCCCCGCCCCGCCCGCAGCCCCTGCTTCCCCAATGGCATTGCCCTCCAGCATCGCCGGCTGTGCAGGCGCCCCCGACGGCGCCGGTCGCCCCACCTCCGAAGCCGGCGGCGGCGCGGCGGCGGTGGCCGCCGGCTGTGCCTCTCCAAATTCTCCGAGGCTCAACCCCAACCCCAGCCCCAGCCCCAAGCCGGGGTATGCGTATGAGATGGAGTCGTAAAGGGGCACGCCGCAGCCCCGTCCGCCGCCGCCGCTGTCCACGCCGAGCGAAAAACCGCCGCCGCCGCCGCCGCCGGCCTCAGCGGCCGCGACGGCCGCCATGGGTCCCGTGCCCGCGCCGGCGGCGGCGCCGCCGCCGCTCGCATCGATATCCATTGCTGACGCCGCCGCGCCGCCCCTGTCCTCAAAAACCTCGAGCCCTGGCAGCCGTGATTGCCTCTCCTCTTCCCCCTCTTCTGCTCGCCGCCGCCGCTCCTCCTCCTGCTGCTGCTGCTGCTGCCGCTGCTGCTCCTGCTCCCGCCGCTGCCGCTCCCGCTGCTGCTGCGCTCGCTGCAAAAACTCCTCCCTGCTCACCGGCACCCCCTTATCTCCAGAGCCCCAGGCCCCCG